ACATTGCTGGTTTCTATTTCGGCAGAGGCTCAATAAACAGAGACCCTATTTCTGAGACATTTGACCACCAATTCTGAGACATTTGATCACAGTTACTTCTTTCCAAGAATAACCATCTAACTAAACTTCACAGGAATTATGTATGATCATAATAGGTGCAGTTATAAATTGATTAGAGCATTCATTATATTCCTGATCCTATGTCCCTGAGGAAATCCTTGTGATAATTGCAGTGTTGTCACCTACTTTTTTTAAAAAAAAAATGCGTTTATTTATATAGCATACAAACAAGTTTCAGTACAATTAACGGGTCTTAGCTTGTTCTAGTAGCAGGGGTTTGTATGGTGATATTAATTCCTTCTTGTATAATATTTAAATGATTGATTTCACATATCAAGAGTGATTTGGAATTCATGCCCATTAAAAATCCCTTTCTGCCGACTTATGGGGAAAAGATTTCCTTGTATATTTGTGCCGTCTGTTGGGTTGCATGTGAAGTGGACAATGTAGCAGAAGTTGCCTGTTTTCAATTTTTCCTTTCCTCCATGGGCTGTGATGTTTTATTGAAGACTCATACAGAAGGGGGAAGGGGAATTAAAACCAGACAGCTCTGACTTCATTGTAAATTTTCATATGTAGTCCAGCCGGCCTTAACAAATACCCGCTTCCCCCAGTGCACTTCATCCATTATTGGGTAATTGCTTGGGGATTGCATAAACTCACAAATGAAAAGTGTCATGGGCATATCCACATCAATTTTAAAGGATGGAAATTTGTGCTGAAATAAAAATAACATGCCATTATCTAATAGCATCATGCAGTGAGTTTACTGGGATTCAAAAGATGCAGAGGGTGGAACGCTGCCATTATTCCTTTCTCTGATCTTAATTTGGAAATCACAAAGAGAGGGATAAATAGCTGACACTCCAGAAGCAGTAATGTTTTATATACGTAAAGCAACTGAATTGCACCATTTGTGGGGAAAGGCATAGTCTGAGAAAAGAGAAACAGACTACTTCATAACTAAGATGGTTTTATTTTTAAAATTATATGATTAACCCAATTTGACCATATATGATTATGGAAGCAGATGTATTTAATGGGAACTACAGATGCAATCCTAAATTCTTTTACTGAGGGAGTAAATCTGATTGACTATATTGAAGCATAACTCCTGTTCAATCTATTTAGAATTGCATTGCATGGTTGCAATTGTACAACCATATGTTTACTTGAACGAAAACCCTACTTTTTGTGTATAGGAAGTCCCCAGATTATGAAAAAGATGGGTTCTGTAGGTTTGTTCTTAAGTTGGATTTGTATGTAAGTCAGGAGAGGTATTTTTTTAAGTGCAACTCCAGCCAACGGTATATGTATGTATGTATGTATGTGTGTGTGTGTGTGTGTGTGTGAATGCTTTGGATAGCAAAGGGTTAACAGCCCCATGGTGTTTTGATGTCTGTGCCTCTGTGATAATTGGATTTTGAAATATTTGGCTTGTTGCGGAAACAAGGATTTGTGAGAAAGCTTCAGTTGATACATCTTTTTTCCCATGATAACTCTTCCAGAAGTGGGCTTCCCTCCCTAGGAGTAGATTTCCCTCACTTCCTGTTGTCTCACCCCTGTTCTTAACTGTGAGTCATTTGCAAGTCAGATGTTTGTAACTTGGGGACTGCCTGAATAAGTGTCATCAAAAGCCCCCCCCCCCACCCTGCACAACTACAGCTCTGTTAAATGAGACACTAAAAATCCACACATGAGAAATTTAAGTACCTTACAAAAAAAATCAAAGGATTTCATATGGAGGAAAGATGAGGCCCTTTCATAACAGCTATAGTGCTATGATTATATTGAGCTGAGATATGTATTTTGGAAGGAACTAACGCTCTCTGAGAATTACTTCTCCCTAAACTGCAGCCCCAGGATTCCATAGGATGTAACTATGGCAGTTAAAGTGGAATCATAACTGTGAGTAGAATGAAATGCAAATAGCATTTAAAGTGGTATCAAAGTGCATCCAGTGTATCATAGTTTACACTGACACATTATCTAACCAATCGGAATAATAGTATACAATCTTGGGGAATGGTGTCCTGAACAATGAGCCCTATGAGGGACAGTGACCAACATTTACAAACACCTGTGACAACACTAGTGTGAGAAGGGTGGACTTTGACTTGGCTGCTAATTATCTGAATAACAGTGTGATCTTCAGCACTCCATAGCTAATAAGTCATTAAAAAAGCTTCATCCCTTGATGTCCATGTTGAAAATTGCTGCAACAGGCACAAATATTGTTCTTTCCTGACCTGTTGGCAATCCTCAATTAATTAAAAAAAGGTATTTCTAGTCTGCATGGCTCCTAGCATAGATTGTAATTATTTAAAGAAATGTCTTATACCTTGGGGTTTCTGTTACCTCCTGACAAGGTTGGCTTCAGGGATGGAGGTCCTATCTAAGAGACCCACTAATTCTAATCACTGACCACTGCTAAGAAACAGCCGTCCCCTAAAGTTTGGCCTTGGTTAGCCCGTGGGTCTTTCTTCTCTGGTCCCATATACACTGCCATATAAAATCCAAACTATCTTCTTTGAATTGTATTATATGGCAGTGTATATGGCAGTGTATATGGATTCTCTGCTTTGATAATCTGGATTACATGGCAGTGCTGAAGGGGCCTTTGTTACCCAGAATCACATTCCCTTCTTAACTGCTGAGAAAATTCATCTGAGCCTATCTTCTTACAGATATTACCCCAACACTCAGCAGTCTTTCTTCCAATCTGCCCCCATATATTTGAAGTTTTGCTTCTTTTGAAAGTTTTGTTTTGGAAAGGCTGAAATTCCTACAGATTTCTGGGATTCAAGTCCCCTTCTACACTGCCATATAATCCAGGTTATACAACAAACTTTATTACAGTCCATAGACCCACATCTGTTAAATAGATAAAATACAGGAGTTAACAGATTATAAAATTAGATAATGCACATTGTCTGCTTTGAACTGGATTATATGAGTCTATACTGCTATATAATCCAGTTCAAGGCAAATGATCTGAATTTTGTATGGCAGTGTAGAAGGGGCCGAAGAGACTCAAAGTACTATGCCACACAATCATTTACAGAGCTGTCTCTTAAAGCCCACTCCACACAGCTGTACGAAATCCACATTGCACTGAGTTATATGGCTGTGTGGACTCAGGCCCCCTCCATACAGCTGTACGAAATTCACATTGCACTGGGTTATATGGCAGTGTGGACACAGCCCCCTCCGTACGGCTGTACGAAATCCATGCTGAACTGGGTTATATGGCAGTGTGGACTCAGGCCCCCTCCATACGGTTGTACAAAATCCACACTGAACTGGGTTATACGCCAGTGTGGACTCAGGCCCCCTCCATACAGCTGTATGAAATCCACACTGAACTGGGTTATATGGCAGTGTGGACTCAGGCCCCCTCCACACAGCTGTACGAAATCCACATTAAACTGGGTTATATGGCAGTGTGGACTCAGGCCCCCTCCACACAGCTGTACGAAATCCACACTGAACTGGGTTATACGCCAGAGTGGACTCAGGCCCCCTTCACACAGCTGTACGAAATCCACACTGAACTGGGTTATATGGCAGTGTGGACTCAGGTAACCCAGTTCAAAGCAGATATTTTGGATTATGTGCCTTGACACTCTGAGTTATATGGCTGTGTGGAAGGGCCCTTAAATGCCCATGAGTCTACACTGTATAATGCCATATAAATTAGTTCAGAGTAGATAATCTGGATTCAGAAATTGGATTTTATATATATGGCAGGGTAGATGGATGCTTGAGGAATCCACCTGTACTGTTGAAATAATGCAATTTGATTCCACTTTGTGCCCTTCCACACAACCATAAACCCAGAAGATAAAGGCAGAAAATCCCACATTATTTGAGTGTGGACGCAGATAACCCATTTCAAAGCAGATATTGTGGGGTTTTCTGCCTTGATATTCTGGGATATGGGGCTGTGTGGAAGGGCCCTCAATGCTCTCTGGAATCCTGAGAACTGAAGCACTCCTTGGTAGAGAAGGCTGAAGACTTTCTAAAATATAACTCCCAGGATTCCCCAGCATTGAGGCATGGCAGTTCAAGTGGTGTCAAACTGCATTAATTCTAAAGACGGAGATTGTAGGTGAACTATACATCCCAGGAACTACAACTCCCAAATGTCAAGGTCTACGTCCCCCAAACTCAATTTGTGTTCATATTTGGGCATTTAAAATATCCGTGCCAAGTTTGGTCCAGATCCATCATTGCTTCAGTCCACAGAGCTCTCTGGATGTAGGTGAACTACAACTCCCAAACTCAAGGTCAATGGCCACCAAACCCTTCTAGTGTTTTCTGTTGGCCATGGGAGTTCTGTGTGCCAAGTTTGTTTCAATTCCATCATTGGTGGAGTTCAGAATGCTCTTTGATTGTAGGTTAACTATAAATCCCAGTAACTACAACTCCCAAATGACAAGGTCTATTTCCCCCAACTCCATCTGTGTTTATATTTGGGCATATGGAGTATCCATTGTTTGAGTCCATTGTGCTCTCCGGATGTAGGTGAACTACAACTCCAGAACTTAAGGCCAGTGTAGGTTAACTATAAATCCCAGTAACTATTACTCCCAAATTACAAACTCAGTTTTTTTAGGTGATGGTCACTCCTTGGGTTAGTAGGTGTCTTGTGGCCAAATTTGGTGGCAATTTGTCCAGTGGTTTTTGAGTTATGTCAATCCCACAAACAAACAAACATTACATTTTATTTATATAGATTGGCAATGCTCTGAGGAAAGGCTTAGTAGTTGTGTGCTTTCATAATATTCAGTATCTATAGGGTCATGAGTCAATTTCTATATAAATATAAAAAGACCCATGCCAAGCAAAAACACTCCTGGTTCCTCCTTTGTCTTTGGCTGCTTCCAACCTGCAGCGCCTACTGCTTCGCGCTTCCGAGGAGGACGGAGGTATTTTGTCCCTCGCGGCGCTCCGTCTCTCGGTAGGAGCAGCTGTTCCAGCCAACATGGCGGCGGTGTTGCTGCTGCAGGAACTCTCAATGACAACCGCTTTGGCCCGGCGCCTCGCAGGGAGAGGAGGAGCAGAGGCGGCGAGAGTGGTCGGCGCTGCTCGCTGTGGGGCCAGGTACCTCCGGAAGGAGCGGGAGGGCAGGCCAACGCCTGGGGGGCCGAGAAGGAAGCGGGATGGGGACGAGGCGAGGCTCCTGGCGGCTAGGCCTCGCCTGTGGGTGAAGGCCTCAATGCTCTGCCCAGCCCAGCCAGGTGGTGAAGGGACTACCTTAGGAGGGGACGACAATGGGGTCCTCCCTCCTCCCAAACGTATACACTTTGCAATAGTGGCATTGTATTGTCGAAGGCTTTCATGGCTGGAATCACTAGGTTCTTGTGGGTTTTTTCGGGCTATAGAGCCATGTTCTAGAGGCATTTCTCCTGACGTTTCGCCTGCATCTATGGCAAGCATCCTCAGAGGTAGTGAGGTCTGTTGGAATTAGGACAATGGGTTTCTATATCTGTGGAATGGCTGGGGTGGGGCAAGGAGCTCTTCTCTGCTGCAGCTAGGTGTGAATGTTTCAGCTGATCACCTTCATTAGCATTTGAAGGCCTGCCTGAGCCTGGGAAAATCTCTTGCTGGGAGGTGTTAATCTGTGCCTGGTTGTTTCCTCTCTGTTGTTTTGCTGTTGTAATTTTAGAGTTTTTTTTAATACTGGTAGCCAGATTTTGTTCATTTTCATGGTTTCCTCCTTTCTGTTGAAATTGTCCACATGCTTGTGGATTTCAATGGCTTCTCTGTGTAGTCTGACATGGTGGTTGTGAGAGTGGTCCAGCATTTCTGTGTTCTCAAATATATTTGCAACATCACCTTCATCAGGTGCTCTGCTATGGCTGACACGCATCAAGGAACATGAAAGGCACTGCAGACTACTTCAACCAGAGAAGTCAGCCATAGCAGAGCACCTGATGAACCAGCCTGGACACAGCATATTATTTGAGAACACAGAAATAATGGACCACACCAACAACCACCATGTCAGACTGGATGCATAGATGCAGGCGAAACGTCAGGAGAAATGCCTCTAGAACATGGCTCTATAGCCCGAAAAAACCCACAAGAACCTAATAGTGGCATTCATTATAATTTCTTCCCATAGAGAGAAGGCTCTCAGTTAACCAGAACTCCCAAGCACTCTAAAAAAAAATCGAAGACATAATACTATAAATAACAACTAAAAGAAAACTGTTTTTAGGATCCAATAAAATCAGGTTTTGTAAAACAGTAAAATTGTGTTACATTGTGTCTTAATTTGCTTTCAATCTTAGTAACAAGTCAATATGGCATAGTACAGTATATGGTATAATATTAGTTAGGCCTGAGTTCTTGTGGGTTTTTTCGGGCTATATGGCCATGTTCTAAAAGGCGAAAGATTTATACGATCTGAAGAGAAACCAGAGTATGTTCTAGAGCAGTGGTTCTCAACCTGGGGGTCGGGCGAGGAGGTGTTAGAGGGGTCGCCAAACACCATCAGAAAACACAGTATGTTGTATTGGTCATGGGGGTTCTGAGTGGGAAGTTTGGGCCAATTCTATCATTGGTGGGGTCCAGAATGCTCTTTGATGGTAGGTGAACTATAAATCCCAGCAACTACAACTCCCAAATGTCAAGATCTATTTTCCCTAAACACCACATTTGGGCATATTGAATATTTGTGCCAAGTTAGGTCCAGATCCATCATTGTTTGAGTCCACAGTGCTCTCTGGATCTAGGTGAACTACAACTCCCAAACTCAAGGTCAGTGCTCACCAAACCCTTCCAGTATTTTCTGTTAGTCATGGGACTTCTGTGTGCCAAGTTTGGTTAAATTCCATTGTTGGTGGAGTTCAGAATGCTCTTTGATTGTAGGTGAACTATAAATCCCAGCAACTACAACTCCCAATTAACAAAATCAACCCCTCACCCAACCCCACTAGTATTCAAATTTGGGTGTATTGGGTATTTGTGCCAAATTTGGTCCAGTGAATGAAATACATCCTGCATATTGGATATTTACATTACAATCTGTAATAGTAGCAAATTTACAGTTATGAAGCAACAACGAAAATAATATTATGGTTGGGGTCACCACAACATGAGGATCTGTATTAAGGGGTCGCGGCACTAGAATGGTTGAGAAACACTGTTCTAGAGGCATTTCTCCTGACGTTTCGCCTGCATCTATGGCAAGCATCCTCAGACTCACTACCTCTGAGGATGCTTGCCATAGATGCAGGCAAAACATCAGGAGAAATGCCTCTAGAACATGGCCATATAGCCCGAAAAAACCCACAAGAACTTAGTGATTCCAGCCATGAAAGCCTTTGACAATACATTAGTTAAGCCTGTTTTTACTCATGTGCAGAATCTAGCAGACTTTTTTTCTGTATTCAGTAGATTCTGTGGGTCCTTCCACACAGCCCTTTATCCCAGATAACTCCGATAACACAGTTCAAAGTAGATATTGTGGGATTTTCTGCCTTGATGTTCTGGGATATAGGACTGTGTGGAAGGGCTCTAGGTTATTTGAGTCTACACGCAGATAATGTGGGATTTCCTACCTGGATATTCTGGGATATAGGGCAGTGTGGAAGGACACCCCCCCCCCCTGGGGCCTCAAACATTTTAAACCAGAGGTCCTCAAACTAAGGCCCGGGGGCCGGATACAGCCCTCCAAGGTCATTTACCCAGCCCCGCTCAGGGTCAACCTAAGTCTGAAACGACTTGAAAGCACACAACAACAATCCTATCTCATCAGCCAAAAGCAGGCCCACACTTCCTATTGAAATACTAATAACTTTATATTTGTTAAAATTGTTCTTCATTTTAATTATTGTATTGTTTTTAAGTTTTTTGCACTACAAATAAGATATGTGCAGTGTGCATAGGAATTCATTCATGTTTTTCAAATTATAATCCGGTCCTCCAAAAGTTTGAGGGACTGTGACCTGGCCCTCTGTTTAAAATGTTTGAGGACCCCTGTTTTAAACAGAGGGCCAGGTCAATCCCTCAAAATTGTTGGAGGGCCGGATTATAATTGGAAAAATCATGAATGAATTCCTATGCACACTGCACATATCTTATAGTGCAAAAAAAAACACTTTTAAATACAATAATTAAAATGAAGAACAATTTTAACAAAAATAAACTTATTAGTATTTCAATGGGAAGTGTGGGCCTACTTTTGGGTGATGAGATAGGATTATTGTTGGTGTTGTGTGCTTCCAAGTCGTTTCAGACTTAGGTTGAGCCTGAGTGAGGGCCGGGTAAATGACCTTGGAGGGCCGTATCCGGCCCCCGGGCCTTAGTTTGAGGACCTCTGGTTTAAAATGTTTGAGGCCCCGGGGGGGGGGGGTGTCCTTCCACACTGCCCTATATCCCAGAATATCCAGGTAGGAAATCCCACATTATCTGCGTGTAGACTCAAATAACCTAGAGCCCTTCCACACAGTCCTATATCCCAGAACATCAAGGCAGAAAATCCCACAATATCTACTTTGAACTGGGTTATCTGAGTCCACACTCAGATAATGTGGGATTTCCTGCCTTGATATTCTGCTGTGTGGAAGGGCTCATCATGTTTCTGGTGCAAATGACAAAATCAATAAGCCCCCCCCCCCCCCAGTTCAAAGCAGATAATGTGGGATTTTATACAGCTGTGTAGGAGGGGCCTCAGGGCCCTTCCACGTAGCCATATAACCAAGAATATCAAAGCAGAAAACCCCACAATATTGGCTTTGAACTGGGTTATCTGAGTTTACACTGCCATATATTCCAGTTCAAAGCAGATAATGTGGGATTTTATACATCTGTGTGGAAGGGGACTCAGACCCTTCCAGACAGGCCCTATATCTATCCTAGGATCTGATCCCAAGTTTTCTGCTTTAAACTGGATTATATGAGTCCACTGCCAAGTAATCTGGGATAAACACAAAACCTGGGATCATATCCTGGGATATAGGGCCCATCTGGGATATAGGGCCCATCTGGAATTCAAGCAACCAGAATTGAAGCAACCAGAACTCCCAAAATCAAAGAAAAAATACTGCATTCACAAAGTTATTGTTATAATACAGAAAAACTTTGTTACATTAAGTTTATCTTTATTTGTCAATATTTTCTTTTAGTTATTGCATTTCAATATAAATATCAAGTTTATGCTATAGTATAGGTTGGGTATAGTATCAGGCCGGTTTTCATCATAACTCTCAAGCAACCAGAAACTGAATTAATTCAGCATCAGTCAATCCCCATGGGTGCCAGTTAACTGAGAGTATACTGTTTACGCACGCACACACGCACACACACACCATTAACAGCATTTGAAGATTCTAAGTGTAGAGAATTGTTACAAAAAATACAAGAGGAAGTGTGCAGAATTAATGCAATTTGACACCACGTTCACACTCATGGATCAATGTTGTGGAATCCTGGGATTTGTAGTTTGGTGAGGCACCCAAGCACTCTTTGGCAGAGAAAGCACAAAGTATATGAAGGAAAGTAGTTGTGTCCCAAAATAAAGTGAATGATATTGTTGATAAATGAATCAAATGTTGCAGAAGTGTGTGAGTTTTTAAAGTTCTCAGCACTTATACTGGATTGCACTAAAAATAAAGTCGCTTTGGGAATAATTTTAAAAGACCCTTTTCACTTTGGAATAATGTGCTTCATGATCTTTTACAACTCTTCTAATTATTTAAATATATTTAACTTTTTTCTCCTCCCCCTACCCCTTTCTACCTTCGTTGTGCCACCTTCCCTGGACCAACTTACCTAATTCTTTATCTCCAAAATTTCATTGTTTCTGTTGCAGGTTTGTTCCCCTGTACTTCAGTAAACACAATTTCTATAAACTTCCCCCATATTTTCCAAAAGTCTGTTTGTTTCCATATCCCCCTTTTAACTTAGATGTCACAAGTCATTTTGTAATTCATCACTATATTCCAAACTTCTCTATACCATTCTTACACTTTTATCTTTCCATTTTTTTTAGCTACTATCAGTCTCCCTAACACAGGGGTCCACAAACCTTTTAAACAGAGAGCCAGGTCACAGTCCCTCAGACTGTTGGAGGGCCGTATTATAATTTGAAAAAA